ACATTAATATGTTCAAATCTGCGTTAAGGCAAAGCGTATTGTTGGAGTAGTGAATGGACGTGGCGCGTGACTTTAGATTTTTGGCAAGGGATACAGTGTTTGACGAAGTGAGCTATATCCTTATGCATACAAGACCACACAAAGCGCTGTTTGATGACTTTAATTGTTGATCCAACTCCTCCATGGGCAATGCCATGCATCTTACTGATAATATTTTTTCTTTGTGGTACTGGTATGAATAGCCGCACTATGGATGTCGAAAAATCGCATAAGATTGGAGTACTTGATTGCGGTAAGTTGATAGATTTGATTTAAAGTGAAGTTGTGTTGTCATTAAGTAGCTTTTTCAGCTCTGGACAACTTGCTTGTGAAGCAGCAATCTTATTGTAGTCGATGATGTTGGCTTCAATCTTTTCGATGCGAGAGAGTGTAACAGCAGTAATGTTATCGACACCTGCTATGTGCAGAATAGATTTCGTTAATTGCCCGATAAAATCTAGATGACGTGGAAAAGCTTCTTCTGATTTTTGAGTAAAAGCGTATACCAATGTTTTATGGTCAGTGTGGACATAAAAAATTGTACCTTCGAGCATATAACGGAAATGCTTGATACTAAGGTAAACTGCAAGAAGCTCCCGATCGTAAGTACTGTACTTGCGTTGTGCGTTGTGTTTTGGAGTTTTCAGCCCATTGGCTGAAGTTCGTTGTTGACGATCTGATGCAGTACAGCGCCAACGCCTGTATCGCTTGCGTCCGTACTGAGTGATAACTGAGCATCTGGAGCAGGCTGTACCAAAAGTATTGCTGCAGCTAGGGAACGGCGACATCGTCAATATAGACGAAAACAAAGTCTAAGTCCCTCAATGCGGAATGCATGTACCTTTGGAAGGTTTGTGCAGCGTTGAACAATCCAAATGTCATGTGTGTAAACTCAAATAATCCAAATGGTGTGGTTATTGCAGTCTTTGGGACGTCGCCTGGTTCGATGGGGATCTGGTGATACGCATGGTTAAGATCAATTTTTGAGAATATTTTCTTGCCATGAAAAATGTGCGTACAGTCTTGTATGTGTGGAAGTGGATACCGATCCGGAACAGTTTGTGCTTTAAGGGCCACATGGTCGCCATTCACCTGTTGGCTTACTGACCATGTGCAACGGCGACGCGTATGCACTTTGTGATGATCGGCACACACCTATTTTAATCAAGAACTTGAATTCCATTTTGGCAGCTTTGAATTTATCTGGCGTGAGTCGACGAGGTCTTGCGAATGTTGGTGGGCCTTTTGTCTCAATGCAGTGAGATCGCCACAACCCAAAGAGTCGTGTATACATTAAATATTGACCTACGAACATTGAGCTAGGCATCTCCTCAAATTATATCATGTGGCAAGTCAAGCTTCTTGTCTTAATACTCACATGGGAGAGTGACTGTTGATCAATGTTATTGGAAGACCAATTAAAACCTTCCTCCGGTCCTTGTAACCACGGCGGTCCATGCCACCACAGTTCACAAGATGCCAACTTAAATACGCTAATTCCCTGACTCAGATGATCAGCAGAGTTATCATTTGCGGAAACATGTCTCAATGGTCCTCCATTTCCAAAATTTTGTTAATGTGATGAACAAATACTTTCCAGTTGGCACCTCCTCCACAAAAGTCAACTCATTGAGTCGGACCAAAAAATTCTACTGGAGAAGTTTATATTAATTTGAAAATTCTAACCGCTGCTGAAACTATGTTATCCCAGCCAATCTTGTTCTTCCATAGAGGCGGCATCAGTATTTTCCCGGTTACAATAATCAGACTCAGCCATCCTATAGGATCAAATAATCTCGCAACTGTTCACAGAATTAATCGGCTCGTAGATAAGCTTGCTGATACTTCGAAATTCAAATGAAATCGAAATTCATCCTTCATGGGGCTGTATACCCAACGTACGTGTGTCCACGCTATCAAGATGCGACAATATCTCTGATTCTCGAAACTCGATAGGTATCTTTTTAAATTGGGCAATTACTTGTCCACTTTCTTAACTCAAATGTGCCACTGCGTAACATATAAATGACTTGACTCTGACCAGAAAATATGTCATCAACATACATCTGATGGTTCACCACATCCACAGCCAACGTAAATATCTCTTTATGGTCCACAGCTTACACAGCTCTTGCATGACTCGCAAAGCTTAATAAAATTCGGAATTTATACCAAACACTAGCGGGTACAGCCCGGCGTTACTCATGGCACGTATAAAATAAATGTCAAAAAGCTTTGAAAATTATTTAGAAACTGATCGGACGGTAAATAAACAACTTTCATACAAACGTATTCCGCCAATTTTCCACTGTTGCGGGGAGAATTTCCCCAATCGTTGAAACACGTATTCATTAAGTTCTTATGTAGAGCTCTAAAAATAAGTAAATCGGACAAAACTTAAAACTGCACCAAAAAAATTTTGAAATCGCATTTCTACCGAGGATGCTTTGATTTTGCGAAAAATTTGAAACACGTCTCAAATGATTTTTCATATAGATCCTTGAAAATGAATTTGAGCTCAAATAATCATCCACCAAATCTTTGACCCTCATTTCCACCAAGGAGGAATAAATTTTTGGAGAAGTGTGAAACACTTTGAAATTGAGTTTGAGGTCGTAAACAAAAAAGTTTGATACAAAAGTTTTTCGCGATTTTTCCATACTTGCGGGTGGAGTTTCCCGAAACCCCGTCCTAACGTGCACCTTATTCACATAAGGTAACTACAGTCAAAATTGCAGCCTCCTGGCTCTTACGATTTGGGCTGTGCTTTGATCACCAATCAGTCAGTCAGTCAGTCAGGACAAACAGTTTTAGATATAGAGATAACAGTTAGGCATGCATACTCCTCGATATTCGACTTCCATAATATGGCCTGATACTGAGCATCGTCTTTTGGAATATTGATGCACCTGTACATTTTTTCTTCGTCAGTCATAAGCATGAATCTTAGACCACGCCAATCAAGAATAACTCCAGGCACCTGCAATTGTAATTTTGGCCCAATTGCTAAAATGTCATTCATTTCCACTTCCCATTATGTCTTGCTTGAGCCGTTGAACACAACTCGGACATTCGCAGTTGAAGATGTTTCCTCTATAACTGGGTGATGCAGTAGATAACATTACTGAGCTGCCCCTTTGGATGGTTGCATGATATTATAAATCATAGGCGTAAACCGTTCCATTTGGCTCAGCTCCAAATACTCATTAGTTGTGACAATGAGCTTCTTCCGGTCTGTACTCAGGCGCCTGTCCAGATAATCTAACCCCTTTAGTGCGCTTCGATAGGACTATCCAATCAACATAGTTTGATCCAGATAAGACAAAAAGGGTAGACGTACAAGATATTTTCCCGAAGATAAACGTCGATGAGTATTGTCAAAAAAGTCCTCGCACCACCTCACCTCCGGTGAGAGACTTGCAGACTCACAATCGAATTGCTCTAGTCCCCAAAACTTGCGTAAAACATTGTCGAGCTTCTCATTTGCATCATGATTGTGTGTCTACACTGTGTGCGACGCAAGTTCGTTGATCTTTCCAGACACGATATAGCCTAAGTGTGTATTTTGTGCTAAAGGTAAATCTGCTGGTCCTCGGTAAGCCAACATCAACTCATCGTAAATATCGCTCCCGAAAAATGGAATAAAATAATAAGGATCGGCTAAACGGAAATTCTTTAGAATATGGGGATTCAAATTTCAAGTCAATTCCTGTAGACGCTTTGGTGATTCTTTCATTTGCTAAACTGTTGATTTTTTTATGTATCCTTTTCCTTCGCTGTTGGTGAAACGACCTATTGATTTTTAAGATATAGGACTTTCCCCTTTTCGTTGATTAAATTTCTAGATAATTTCTGATCACTTCCGTCCTTCTTAGTGCGCCGCCTTTTGGCCAGTACGAATATGTTAAGATGCCATTTAGCCTTCGGAATGCACCAGCACCATGAAACACTTATAAATTTATAAACTTGGTCTTGAAACCATTAATTCGTGAAGGGAATATTTTTGTCCACATAGATGATATTGCTTTAGGAACCGAAACAATCGAAGAACATTTAGAAACGCTCAGTAGAGTGCTTCGGCTTTTAGCAGAATATAGGTTGGAAATAAAATTAAGTATATGTTTATTTTGCTTTACGAGTATTGGATTTTAAGGCTACTCTGTACAAAAACATGGAATTAGCTCTAATAATGAACATATTACCGGAATTAAGGACTTCCCAATTTCGAAAAATCCTATTGAGGTGGAAAAATGTTAAGTTTTTTTTTTCTTATTTTAGACATTTTATACCTAGTTATTAAAATATAGAGAAGACATTAAATGAATTAGTCATATTAAATGCTAAATATGAAATTTATGAAAAATGTCGGACTATTTTTTAATTTGTACGGGAAATATTATTTTTTGTCCCATAGTAGCACTGCACAAGCCGAAAAAGGAAACAGAATTACATTACACAAACAGTCTGACAACAAGTTTCATCTAATATCATACTTTTCCCAAGCCACAACGGCAGCTGAAAAGAACTATCATAGTTTTAAGCTTGAAGCTCCAAAAATGTTGTATTCTTTGAACACAAGTAAAGGATTAACTTAGAAGGAGTTCCGTTTAAGATAGTCACTGATTTTAACACGTTGACATTGACTTTGAATCGTAGGACTCTTAATGATAGAATTGCTAGATGGCCAGATTGGTGTGTGATAATTATGATTAATGAGTATTAAGTAAACATTTAAATGTTTTTATAATCTTTACTTTCGTGATACTTAAATTTACACTGTTAATAAGTTAAAGAAAAATGTAATTTTAGATTATATTTCATAAACTAAGATACGATCAAGAACTATCTAAATTGTAAGAATGGCCAAGATATTACATTAATGTCGAATATTAATTTTTTTGCTTATAATAATAATTATTCATAATAGGTTTAATAAGCTATTCCTTAATCTACTAACTTACCTTTTTTCTCCAATATTAGATATTGTATTTACTAGTTCAACCAAATCGCCTCGGGTAACACTGACCGCATCAGATGTTTGGGCCTGATAATTTTGATTTACGAAAACTAAATCAAATGTCTAAAAGAAAAGAGAAGTCCGGCTTAAAAATTAATTAAAACAATAAGTAAGGATGTCTTCGACATGCCGAGGATTTCAGGGCCTTGTTGACCTTAACGCGATATTGATAAAATTTGGCTCATATATATGGATCACACCTTAACAAATAAGTGCCGGACATGACATCATATTCCTTATAAGATTGATGAGATTTTGAATATATCTAAGTATATTAGTGAAACTGATAACTCTTTCTAGAATCACTGTAAGACATTATGCATAGCCAGAACCAATGACGTCTTATCGCTAAGCAGTGTTATAATGCATACATCAGCGCTATGGCAGGTGAATAAATTATAACTGACTAATTGACTGATTGATTGACTGTGTGATTGATTGGCTTTCAACGCAAGCCGTAAAGTCAAGGATGCTGAAGTTTTCACTGTAGCTACCTTATGTGATGCACGCTAAGTCGGGATTTTGTAAATTTCGGAAAATTTTGGATATTGCGAAAAACTTTTGTTTGGAATTTTTTTGTTTATCATCCGACCGTTCTCAAGCTTATTTTACAAGATCTTTGCTTATATTCATTTGAAGAATCAGAAAATATAGACAAAAAGTAACTTAAAGTGAACACAACGTATGAGCTCCGGATAAATGTCCGAACCGAACATCAGATTTAATTTCACTGGAAGCTGCGGACGAGCAAGCGTTGTCTGTACCGGTGCGGGTGACGGATAGCCTGGAGGCCTTTGCCAGTAAAAATGCCCTAGTGTCGCGGGTCGACTTGCCGGTCCGAAGACAGAAAAGTCCTCTCAGGAACACGGTCGTTCTGCTGTGCTCCATTAAGGTAGACAGCGTCGCACTTGGGCCTTTGTGGTGCAAACCAACGGGGATCGCGATGGCGTACGACGCGGTTCGTGGAGGTGCAGCAGGGTATAATGGTCGCCATGGATCTTGCAGAACTTGTCCTTGCCTCGACATGAATTCGCGGAGTGCTGTTGGGGCAGGCAATTTGGACAGTATTTATTCACTTGCTCGGAGTCTTTTCTCAGGGGACAGCCCCAGGAACCTCTGGCACTTTCGCAACGCTTGCACTCCTCGGCACACTCAGCATCGGAATGAATCCGTTGTCAAGCAGCCCTTGGATCGACCTTGCTGTTGACGTGGAGACATCGAGCTGTTATGTGAAGAAGTTGTAAGATGATGACCATTAATTATGCAGCTTTATACGGATGGTTGATCTGTGAATCTAGGATTCTAGACTTAGATTAATGGGAAATTGAAGATTAGGTTCTACCGGGAGCCGAATCAGCTTTGAGATGGGTCTCTTAGATATACCTTGGGCTGTTAGCACGTCGGCCACTCAGACTCTATTCGGCCTCTAAATACATAGCTTTGATGCTGAGGCACACAGAAACGCACACGTAACGTTTTGTAATAACAGGCGCGACCTATAATTTTTAATCTCGAAAGGGCCTGCAAAATCGACTCTTGTGTGAGTGAATGGCCAAGAAAATGTGACTCTCTCCACAGGAAAGTCGCCCATTGCCTAAGCTTGTAATTTATTTTTTTGGATTACATAGATTTTGCAGTAGTTGAACGTGGATTTTACCAACACCATGAGCTTTGGACTCCATTGCTGTGATCGTATTAGACGCAACATGAGCTAGTTGCCTCCATGCAGGGATATACGCGGAATACATACGTGTACCGCATTATTATAGGATGTCGCTCATCGTAGCTGAGTGCTTCGGCCGCTCTTACGCGACCACACACTCGATTGATTCCCTTTCTATCTAAAAACGGGTTCAAATTAAGAAAGTGATGTGAATTGCTGGAAGTGAGCGGTTTTTTCCTGCTCAAGCAAGTGTACTCTGACGATTAAACTTGTTTCTGGGTGAGCAGAATGAGTATTTCTTGTGCATAATAAATCTCGTTGCTGTCATGTTCGTTTGCTGACGGGAGCGAAAATCTTTTACAACGCTTGACGAAACAGAAAATGTCGGCCAACACTCGCAAGGCTCGGTGGGGCACCTCTACTTGCTAGGCCAACGAGATTGTACTCGGATCGTACATCGGACCATTTACTGGAGTCGGTGAGCTGAAGAATTTGTGCCACTCTGTTTGCCACAAATGTAGTCCATGCGCATGGGGCTTAAGAAGCCAGGCTAGCACTATTGTGGAATTTGCGCAATAGAACCAGCCGTCGCCAGCGAAAGGTAGCTGGGAAATGAGTTCTGCTGATAATTCGGACAGAAGTGCTGCCCCGCACAGCTCCAGTCGTGGCAAGGACACCGTCTTGACTGAAGCGACCCTCGTTTTTGCTGTTAGGTGGTGGACCGAGATGCGATCATGTATCTCAGTCCACACATAAATGACAGCTCCGTATGCCTGCTGCGAAGCGTAATATTGAATATTCCCCTGTGGGCAAAATTCGAGCCATCTTGGGATGCGAATTGCACTAAGGTACTGCTACTTACTGAGAAGACTCTCAGGTAGTGGATCGTCCCAGTCTAGTTCTTGGAGCCAGACCTCCTGCATAAATATTTTGCCTGGACAATGACCGGAGCCATCCTACTGGATCGAATAGTTTAGCAATCTGTGTAAAGACCCGCCGAAATCAGCCCAAAGCAGGTGGTCCTTGGAAATCTCTTGGCAAGTCCTTTTCATTGGATGTCCATTTTCACAAGGGGAACCCAGCAGATTCAAGGGCTTTGCGGAGCTCTGGGTTTTCCTGTTGTGCTTTTGATTTGGAATAGGCTCCTGCCAGTACATCGGCGAAATTAATGTTGTTTGCGATAATGTGACATGCGAAGGGGTAGAACGAACAGCATCAGATAATTGCTGTGTACCCGAATTGCCAAGAAGGGGGCACAACTTGACGTTGAGCTCGAAATCACAAAGCTCGTTGTCCTTTGTTCGGAACAGACTTCTGTGTTGGGATGCACGTGGATCCACTTTTTTGTGATATCAACATTAAAGAGAATGGTTAAGTCAGATTGCAGAACGGGCCCTGTATACAGCATATCGTTCTGGCGTTAAATACTACGTAGAGCTTGTGAACAGCATGGCGCGGAAGATAACAGTTATCCGAACCATTGCTTGGAGGGACTTGTCGCATATGACCTGAGTCCAGATACTCCTGGATCACTGCATCGTACTGCTCTTATAGGGGAGAATTTTTTGACAACCGATTCTCGTTTTGAAGGAATTGAGCTAGTGAGATGCACCTTGAGTGGCCCAACTGGATGTGATCGCAATTTTTAAAAGTGTGACCAAGTATCTTCCATTTTCATCTTTTCTGGTTGTTTTTGGGAAGTTATAGCGAAACTTGAGTCGAAAAGAATAAGACAGATTTGGCCAATGTAAGTTCAGAAGTTCTTTCAGAGCATTTTGGGGAATGGTGTGTGAAGGCATTTTGCCTGGTAGCTTTGGAAGGACAGAGGTTGAAAGGGAGCAGAGGTTTTGATATGAACCCTGGACTTTATTGAGTAGCCAATATAATTATGGCAGAGTATTAGCGATTGCGCCGAAATAGCTTAATTCAAACCGAAACCTGTGCGTCAACGGGGTGATATGGAAGTCTTTTGAATAATCGCCCTGATATAAAAGTCGCTTCTGACCCAGAGTCGATTATTGCCCGAACTGTGTTAATTTGCGGATGAGTAGTTTTGAACGATAGCTATAGAAGTTGCGTGGATTGTATTTTCGAAGGAGGTTTTAAAACTATTGGTGTTGTGGAAGCGGAGGGCACCTGGGGCCTATCAAGGCGGAGCATTTGATTAAGCGACTTTGGAAATTCCATTCTCAACAGTGATAAATTTGCAGAAAAGGGTTCTGTGAGAGTTTTTTTTACAATCCGAGCGGCTCATGTTCAGAGATCCATGTGAAAATTCTTTTAAGTCAAATTTCACTCTCTTCTCTTATTCGATCATGTACAAAATTTTTCTTATTATGCACTATCAAACGACCGGTAACTAATAGCTGGTCGGATGTGTTAGCTCCCCCCTCATTAAGATTAAAGCCGTTCGGTTTTTATCAGACTGTCAATAACAATATGTAGGAAAAATATTTGGCTGGCCCTTTTTGGTCTTTGGTACATCTTTCAGAGAAAGATACTAGTAGCTAGTATGACGATGATGAAAACACTTAACATTGCTGGCGTTGTGGTCAGCTTTTTCTCTATGTCCCATTGTATAGTAGTTTTTCAGTCTTCGGCCGGTGATATTCAGGAGTGTCGATATTGTTGTTCCTAGGAGTCTTCGGACTATATTCTTCATGTTCCTCAACGCGTTTATTTTGTTTTCCCTATACGCTTGTGTCACTTTATTGTGGCTGTTACCCCTTTTATTATGATGACCACAACATGTTTCGAACCTAGATATGTGGGACTAGTGCTATAATGTGCTGTGCTGCCGGAATGTAGTTTTTGTGCACAACTCGTGAAGGGTAACTGCCTACAGAATGTTTTTGTAAGCATGGCAGTGCAGTTTCCAATTGGCAAGATTTGATTAGTCATTCGGCGACATTATTATTTTCAGCGAGATTTAATATTGTACCATTAAAATTTAACGGGAAACAAAGTGATTTTTTTTACAAACTAAGCAGAATCGGGGTATTTAGTAATAAAATGTAATAAATTATGATTTTATGAAACTTACATGTAGATTGTTCATTTATAATTTTCTCTAGTGACTGAATAGTCCTTTCAAAACAGAAGAAATGCTTCCGAGATTTTAGAAAAAATTGAATTTGTGCGCATTGTTGCTTGTGCGTACACATACACACACATACATTTAAACGATCCCTAGACATGAGAGCATTGAAAGCACTGAGAGTAAGCCAAATCAATTTTCTGTAGGGAAAGCGAGAAACAGCAATGCCGTTCTATCGTACAAATCATATGGATGAGAGTAAGCCAAAGCAGTTTCCTGCAGTGGAAGCGAGATAAAAGACAGCGATGCCGTTCTACCACAAAAATCATATGAATTTCCACATAAATTGTTCTAGTTGTCTCA